TGGAAGAGGGTGGGCTGTTGGTGCTCTTCTGAGAGTGCTAAGGGGAGTCCTGGGTAGCTGGGGAATGGGTGTCTAAGATGTTGGCACCTGGAGAGGTGTCGCTGCCTGTCTCTCTAGGTGGTACAGTTCCCAAGCTGTTAAATCTTACCGCAACAGCACAAAAATCCTTGCCAGGGCACTGCGATGGCCACAAAGCTGGGGGATGACACCTGAGTGTGTATGGTTGTAGGGTATTCCCTCACCAGCTCAATTTCTTGCCATTGTCACAGGGCTGCCGGCTGCCCTTCCCGCCCTGCCTCTGGAGCTTACCATCCTTTACAACTCCCTGCTTTTTACCATGGGAGCATCCGAGACTGCTGTCGAGGGAGAAGCAGAAGGAATACGCCAGGGGCTCCTCAGGGGTAAGGAGGCTGTCATCCGTGCTTTGGAGATGTGTGGTGCCTGGCTAGAGGCCGGGGGGGCTGTTAGCAGGGAAGCCTGGCTCTGCCTGGAAGGGTAGGAGGTGGGGCAGCTTGCAGCCAGGGACGATGTGCAGCTGCCTGTCTGCTTGCTGCTGGTGGGAAAACCTGCCTATGGGTTTTAAGGGAAATGAGAGTTTTCAAGGCACAAGGTGCCACATCACCAGCAAAATTTCAGTGACGGTAGAAAACAAGTGTTTTCTTCATACTATGTTGTGCTGGCTTCCAAGAAAACTCCCTGGGACAGGCTGCAAGTCAGAGGAGGATCCGTGGTGTTGGCACGTGTGGCCTCAGGAGGACCCTGTGCAGCCAGAGTCATAGCTCTGAACTGTGCGTCCTCTCCGGAGCGTGCCTCTTCACTCCACTGTCCAAAAGCTTGGTTTCCGTGCCACTGAGGCTGGGCAAGCCCTGTAGCTCCACTCCTTCCTTTGCTACGAGGAGCCCCGTGTGTGCTTGAGACCTTCTCTCCCTCTTGGGAGGGTGCCTGTAACAGGGCACCAACCTGTTGTCTCACGGCTGGGGGTCACATTTTTTTTTTCCAGTTCTGGAGGCCTGTGGGGCCGGTGGGCAGGATCTTGGCAGCGAGGAGCTGTGGCGGAAGGTGCTGCAGGAGGTAACTGCGGAGGAGCTGCGGGCACCTTTGCACCGACTGGGTGCCCTGCAAGCAGCGTGGTGGCTGGCAGCCAGGCGCCTGGGAAGCACCGCTGGCCTCTTCTGGCTCCTGCGCAGCGCCGAGGTAACGGGCCATGGGTGGGTGGCGCGCAACTCCTGGTTACCCGCACTGGAGTGTCTGCACAAATACAGGCACCCGCGAGCTCGCTAAAGGAGGCGGAGCTGGCATATGTACCGTGTTTGTCCTAAACTCCACTCTGCAAAACATTGCTGTGGTGTTTGGAGACCAAAGCCCGTCAGTGCTGCCCAGTCAGCGTGGGTGATCCTCTCCCTGGGGTGCCAGCGTAGCCTAATGGTCCTGAGTGCCTGAACATCTCCTGCCGGCCGGGGCACCTTGAGCAGGGGAGATGGGGGCTGCAGGTGGTGAGCAAGCTGTGAGCGGTGGGATGCGTGGGAAGCCTCCCTGCTGATTGTGAGGGTTGTACGAAGGCTGCTGAGGGGGTCCCACCTTGACAAATGCCTTTTGACAGTACTTGGGCCTGCCTTGCCAGGAGGTGCAGCTCTCCCTGAGGTGCTGCCCCGGGCCAGGCAGGTATCAGTGCAGCGAGGGGGGTTGCAGCTGACGTGAGGGGGTGGTAGGACACTGCCACCCAGCGCAAAGGGCACCATCAGAGGGTTTGGTGGGACCTCTGTTTCCCCATGCCATTAGATTGGTGTTCCCTGCTCTCCTTCAGCATTCCCTGCTCTCTCTCCTCTGTACATTCATAGGACCCGGGGAGAGGTTGCTGCAATGAGGCGGAGAACGAACTCCTCTCCCTGCTCAAGGCATGGCAAGTACCTGCTGAGGGGGACTCCCTGCCCCTTGCCCAGAGCGCCGAGGACTTGAAAGAGATCCTCTGCACCACAGCAGCTTTCCTGCAAGGTTTGTGTGGAGGAGGTACTCATGCTAGCACAGCTTCCCACTGCTCTCCTGTCCCAGGACCCCTTCTCTTTGCCCTTCTCCTGGTTTCTTTTCCCAAGCAAACTGGCCCTTGGGGCTTGGAAGAGGGCCTGGGATCAGCCCGTGGATCTTAAGTTTGCTCTTTGGTATCCAAAGAGTTTCTTTGCTTTTCCCCCAGCCAAGCCTTTCTCTGCAATGTCACAGGGTTCTCTGCTTGTCTCTGGCTTTAGGTACGTGTCAGGGCCCGCAGCAGTCTTATGTAAAGCAGAAGGCTGGCAGGGGACTTAGGAGGAATGTCCTTTCTTCTGTCTGTCTTCTGGCACTTGCTTTGTTGCCAGCACATTGATCCCATTGGATTACGGTGCTCCGGGAGCCAGGCAAAGCTGCTGTGCAGCTGTGTAGCCTGGTGTCGCAGCAGGTGATTGACTTCATCAGACTGTTGTGTTCTATTCCACTCCTGGTTTTCCCTCGCTTGCTGTCCTGACAGCCGCAGCAGCTCCAGGGACAGCCAGCGCTCAGGCTGTCCCGGGGCCTGCCCAGGAGGAGGGAGGGCGGGAGGTGCCCACAGGTGAACCTGCCCAGCACCCACCTCTGCCCTGGTTCTGGGACAAGGCAGGTATCCTGGTTATCCAGGCTTGGAAGCTGCTGTCTGATAGATGTTCCTGTGGAGTGGTGCGTTCCCTTGCAACACCAGCAAAGCAAAGACGGCGCCATCCCACTGTGCCCTGCTGGGTGTGGAGGACACCGGGCAGGGCCCCGTGGCACTGGGAAGAGAAGGACACGTGTTTGGCTCTGTTCTAGGGCTGCAGGAGCTGGAGGCTGGGAACTTCCCCACTGCCCTCTCCCTCCTTCAGGAGGCTGCAGGAGGATTCTGCTCCAAGAGGGTCCTGGCCCAGATCTACACCTGCCTTGGCTGCTGTGCTCAGCGAATGGTAATGGCTGGGCTGGGCCTCGCCGTCCGTGAGGAGAGGGGAAAGGCAGCCTAGAGTGGGGCGGGGAGGCCCAGGCTGGTGTCCACGGGGCCCTGCCTGGTCCCAGGCTGCTGCAGGAAGATGTCTTGAGCAGAAATTGCCCTTGGCGAGCAGCAAAATCCAGGCAGGGATTTTGTCTGAGCGTAAAGGGCTGCTGCAGAGAGAATCTCTAAACCATCCTGAGGAGGGCTGCCCTTGCTCAGTGGGGATGGCTGGGGAAGCAGAGCAGGGATCTGGATCCCGCTGAACAGTGAAGACGTGAGCAAGATGTCCTTGAAAGATGCACCTTTTCCCATCTAACTAGGGCAAGCCTCAGACAGCCCTTCAGCACCTGAAACGGGCCCTCCGCATAGACTTCCAGTGCCTTCCCGCCCTGTCCCATGCGGCAGCAGTATACCATGAGCTGGGGGAGACCGACGCGGAGCTGCAGGCCCTGGCTCTGCTCTACGAGGTTTGTCTGCTTCCTGTAGTTCCGGTTGGATTGTTGTCCAGCAGAGCCTGCACAGGGCTTCGAGCAGGTTCCTGCCTTCTGGGGTGGCTGTTTGACCCTGGAGTAGTCCCCAGGATAGGCTACAGTGAGCCAGCCAATGTGCTGCCCTCAGCAGTGGGTGGGAAGGAACCCAGCGAGGTCTGAAATTCCTCCTCAGCACCTGACTTAGATGTGACAGGACCTTTGGGTCCCAGTTTGATGTTCTTGGCAGCTTGGAAGAAGACGTTATGTACGCTCTTATGTCAGAAAGTATCAGTCTCTTCATACAGCCTCTAATAGTGAAGAGGCATTTCAAAGGCA